AAAAAATCTTTTATGACCTGTTATCACCTAAAATAATACATCATATAATTTTCAAGAATGTGTTCTTTGACTTCTAACCTCTGCTCTTCTTTACAATTACCCTTGCTGGCTCCACGCCTGTAGCTCAAGCGGCTAGGGTGCCAGCCACATACACCGGAGCTGGCAGGTTCGAATCCAGCCTGGGCCTGCCAAACAACAATGACAACTACAACCAAAAAATAGCCGGGCATTGTGGCAGACACCTGTAGTCCTAGCTACTTGGGAGGCTGAGGCAAGAGAATTGCTTAAACCTAAGAGTTTGAGGTTGCTGTGAGCTGGATGCCACGGCACTCTACCCAGAGCAACAGCTTGAGATTCTGTCTCCAAAAAAAAAAAAAAAAAAAATGACTCTTGCTGCAGCCAGCAGCTCCTTGTTAATGATTCCACACTTAACTCTCACAGCATTTGTCTTGGACTCTTCTGCTAATTGATGAACAAACAGTAAATGGCTCAGATGGACCAGTAAGTCACCATTTTTCTCCAGACAAAGGTGAGGCTTCTGTTGCTTTAAGACCCACTTTACTGAGCTGTGGCGAACCCACCTCTTTATCTGCTTCCTTGGGGAGTCTGTGGTCCACAGCGCCACAGCTTCCTCTGGGAGTCTGTGGTCTCTGTCAGGCAGCAGCCACCTCAGCTTCCAAAGGCCTCTCCACACCACACACAAACTCACTGCCACTGGGCTGGGTTCTGGTCTTAACATTTCCCAATGGTCCCTATTACTGGAGGAAATAGTTTATTCACCCTCAAAGCTACTGGTCTGGCTGATACATATTAGTAGGAACAGACAAACATATATGGGATATCCTGAAGGTGTGGGACTGGGGCTGGGAAGAGACAGGAACACAAAGCTAGATAAAAGAGTTTTTGTGAGGGCACTCTCTCTCCACTCGGATTTTACATCCTGGCAAGACTACCTAGCTGCTCTTAACACCTGCTGAATTGGTCCTTAAAGCTTAGACACACTGTGACTTACTGTTAATGAAGTGACAATGCTGGGACTACCTTAGAAGAGTACTAGGAAGGGGTTAGGAGGCTCCGAGAGTAGGGCCAGAAGACCTTCCCTTCTCAAAGCAATGACGAATACACTAACAAGAGGAGCTCAGTGCTGGCTGTCTTCTGTAGGCCAGGTTCAGTGAGGAGGTGTTGCCATGGGATGAATGCCATGGCCACTGTCAATGGAGATAACTGAGACTCTGGAAGAGCAGAGACCGAACTGGACCACTTAATCCTTAGAGGCAAGGTGGAAACGATTACCATGATAGGCAGCAAGGCCTGTACGGTAACCAGAGGTCCCCAATCTGCAGGGCTCTGTAACAGTGTCCGTAGGGTAAGAGGTGAGCATTTAATGAGAGTATTGCTTAACTTAATCACAAAAGATCAAGGGCGAGTGGGCTGAGATTGATGTCACAACAGAAAATTGCAGTCTCTCCCTCATTTTCCACCTTTGAACCGGTTCTCAGACCCACTGATTGACGAGAAAGACCCATAATGTCACTGTAAGTATATAAAATAAGTATTTCTCCCATTCTTCCCCAAAGTACCCTCTGGTTATTTACCAGAATAGCTAGCTGTACAGTGTGGAAAAGTGGACAGCCAGATCTTTTGAGGTCTGTTGGATCCAGGGTCAGAACTGGTACTGCATCTAAGTGACCCAAGATGCCATTACAGCCTCCTTTGGCGGGGAACATATGAGCCCAGGTGATAAATGGGGTCCTGGCCAAGTTTATCAGAATGGATCCACTCTGTGGATTATTTCCTGGCTCCTGAGTGCAAATTAAGATGGATGGGTTTAGCAGATGGCAGAACTCTCATATTTCCTTCTCATATTCCCTTGTCTATGGAATAAGAACCATTAGGAAGGCTCAGCGCCTGTAGCACAGTGGTTACGGGGCCAGCCACATGCACCAAGGCTGGTGGGTTCAAGCCCGGCCTGGGCCGGCTAAACAACAATGGCAACTGCAAAAAGAAAACACCATTGTGGTGTGCACCTGTAGTCCCATCCCAGCTACTTGGGAGGCTGAGGTAAGAGAATGGCTTAAGCCCAAGAGTTGGACGTTGCTGTGATGCCACAGCACTCTACCAAAGGCAACATGGTGCGACTCCATCTCAAAAAAAAAAAAAAAAGAACCATTATGAAAAGAAAGACCAAGTAGAAGACTCTAAAATGATCCCACTGATCAAAATTTTAAAACAGAAGCAATGCCAGGTGGAATTGCAGAGATTAGTGGTAACCCCAGAGACTTAAAGAATGCTGAGGTGGTGGTCTTTATCATGTCTGCATTTGATCCACTTCATATAGTCCCTGTACAAACCAAATAAAGCTTAGTGATGGATGGTTAATCACGTGGCAGCCCTGGTCACAGCTATTTTATCAGATATGATATCTTTACTAAAATAGCTTCACAGCCTCTGACTACGAGAAGCCAATAATATGGCAAATGTATTCTTTTCTCCTTGATCCACATCAGGAAAAGGGATCAAAAGCAGTTCACAGTCACATTTCCTACAAAAAATCCAGAGATCGAACACCTGTGTTAAGTTTTTGGTGGTCATACAAACTTGGACATTCTGGGACATTCCTTCTATGGTAAAGGATAATTTATATCATATCTTGTACCTACTATCATTTTTTAATTTGGATTTTGGAGGCAGTATACTAAATATTTCTCCAGCCCATTTCTTGGATGACTTAATAAGCTGCCATGTTTGAAGGAAGTCCAGAGCAAGACAGGGCTCTAGGATAGTTGCATGTTAATGGACAAATACTTGGATCATCCAACCCAGCATATCCCACAGTACTGGACAGATCTATAGTATAAGTAGACAGCATGAAATCGCTGGAAAACCCCAATGGGAGAGTCTCACATCAGAACCCAAGGATTCCAATGTAAAGCCCTGCCCTGTATAACAGAGATTTATCAACATTTGAAAAGTAGCCAAATTGAACAATAGGGAGAAAATAAATCATTGCTTTATGTCACTAAGTCTTGGAGTGGCTAATTATGAACAGGTAATTAGAACATTCATGTGAACAGTACTTTTTAAATGTTGTATAATATTGTACTATATAAATATGCCATGACTTACATAACTGTTCTTTTTTAATGCCCATTTTAGCTATTTCTAGTTTGGGTCTGTTAAGAATAATGCTGCTAGGGCTGGGAATGGTGGCTCACACCTGTATTCCTAGCACTGGGAGGCCAAGATAAGAGGATCACTTGCGTTCAGGAGTCTGAAACCAGCCTGAGCAAGAGTGAGACCCTGTTTTTACTAAAAATCGAAAAACTAGCCAGGCATTGTGGGCAGCTGTAGTCCAAGTTACTTAGGAGGTTGAGGAAAGAGGATCACTTGAACCCAGAATTTTGAGGTTGCTGTGAGCTAGGCTGATGCCACAGCACTCTACCCAGAGCAACAGAGTGAGATACTGTCTCAAAAATAAATAAATAAATAAAATAATACTGCTAGGAATATCCTTACATGTGTCCACCAAAAGGGGTAGAAATATGTACTCATGTCTCTTAAGGACATACCTAGGATGGAATTACTGGGTCAATAAGTAAGCATGAAGGTAGACATCTTTAGAAGATATTGCCGGCTCGGCGCCTATAGCTCAACCGGCTAAGGTGCCAGCCATGTACACCTAAGGTGGTGGGTTCAAATCCCCAGCCCGGACCCGCCAAACAACAATGACGGCTGCAACCAAAAAATAGCCGGGCGTTGTGGCGGGCGCCTGTGGTCCCAGCTACTTGGGAGGCGGAGGCAAGAGACTCGCTTGAGCCCAGGAGTTGGAGGTTGCTGTGAGCTGTAATGCCACGGCACTCTACCCAGGGGGACAGCTTGAGGCTCTGTCTCAAAAAAAAAAAAAAAAAAAAAAAGAAGATATTGCCAAATAGTTTTTCAAAGTACTTGAAACATTTTATACTTCCAATAACAAAGTATAACAAGTTCCATTTGTTCCATAACTTTGCCAACACTTGGCATTGTCAGTCTTTTTCATTTTAGTCCTTCTGGTAGTGGCATCTTGCTGTGATTTTAACTTTCATTTTCCTCATCAGTCATGATGGTAAGTTACAGTACATTATTTACAAAAAAAAAAAAAAAAGTACACAGCAAACCAAAATATTGACAATGGGGATCTTTGCAGAAATGTGATGATAAATTATTTGTTTTGTTGTTGTTGGGGTTTTGCTGCATGGTCTATTTGCTGAGCTTTCTGCATTTTTAAAATTTAGATGCTTAATTATGTTTGTTTTCATTTTTGTTTTTGAGACAGAGTCTTACTCTGTCCCATGGGTAGAGTGCTACAGCATCATGGTTCACAGCAACCTCAATCTCTTGGGCTTAGGCAATCCTCTCACCTTGGCCTCCCAAGTAACTGGCACTACAGGCGCCTGTCACAATGCCTGGCTAGTTTTTCTATTTTTACTAGCGACAGGGTCTTGCTCTCACTCAGGCTGGTCTCTAACTCCTGAGCTCCATCTCAGCCTCCCAGAGTGCTAGGATTACAGGCATGAGCCACCACAGCTGGCCTAGATGTTTAATTTTGGCCAGGCATGATGGTGCACAACTGTAATCCTAGCACTCTGGGGATCTGAGGCAGGAGGATTCATTGAGCTCAGTAGTTAGAGACCTGAGCCTGAGCAAGAGCAAGACCCCATCTCTACTAAAATAGAAAACATTATCTGGGTGCAGGTGACATACACCTGTTGTCCTGGCTACTCAGGAGAATGAGGCAGGAGAATTGCTTGAGCTCAGGAGATTGAGGTTGCAATGAGCTAGGCTGAGGCCACAGCACTCTAGCTTGGGCAACCAAGTGAGACTCTGTCTCTAAAAAAAAAAAAAAAAAAGATTAATTTTAAAAATTATGAACCCCCCACAAATCTCATCTCTTTGTTCTTATAAACAACAAGGTATGTAGTATAATGACCACAACAGTAATATTATAAGTAATATTTATTGAGCACCTGCTGTATACCCAGCACTATGGGAGGGGCTGTGAAGGACACAGAACAGCACAGGGATGGTCCCCACCACTAAGAGGCTTACAGTCTAGGTAGAGAGCCAGGGGAACCACAATACTTTGAAACAAAGAGAAAACAGTCCATGCCAGGATGTTACAGGAGCTGGAAAGTATGTGGGTCAGACCCACTAAGTGCTTTGACCTCCAGAAACCCAATGTTCAGTGTTCAACGTTTACCACCCCAAGCCCCACATCAGCCCCCTTAGTGTGCCCTACCACAGCCTTTACTCCCGCCATCTTAAAACGCCTAACTCCTTGTTCAACCGCTATACAAAGTGCAATGAAATGGGGAGGGATGTGGCAGGCAGACCCTGGACACCTTCCAGGAGCTGATGTCTCCCTCCCAGAAAGATCCATTCTTTACACCACACAGACCTAACATGGAGGGGTGCTCCCTCAGGGAGGCCTGTGCCACCACCCAGGACCCCTAACCCCAAGCTAAAAGAGGAGGCAGCAGTTGCTGCTTGAGCTGCCTGAGGTAGAACTAGGGAGCCCTTCTTCCTGTGTGTCCCTTCCCCTTTTAGCCCACTGAGTTGGGGGGTACAGGTGCCCCAGAGCTGCCATCCAGGACTGAGATGGGACTGGGGAGCAAGGACATGGGGAGGGGAGAGCAGCAGGGGGGGGAAGACTAAACACTGAGGCGGGCTCCCCGGAGGAGGGTGGAAGGCCCTGTGGGGAGGCAGGGTGGTTTGCTACAGGACCCTACCTCCCCCTCCTTCAAAGGACAGGGCCAGGAGTGTGCCAAGTCCCCAGCCCTGTGCTGGGCGGTGCCTGCCCAGCCTCAGAGGAGGTGCAAGGCCTCCAGAGTTTTTGATGATGGTCCCACTAACTGGGCCCCCTTCAAAGTGCTATCTGTTTACTTCTCAAATCATAAGAAATTCAGGTCTGAGAATCCAGGAAAGGGGTGGAATTTCATAACACCCACAAGACAGAGTACGGAAGGAGCCAGGCCCCTCCAGAGTACCACCAGCAGTGAGGGTGGAGGAGGATGAGGCTGGCATGAAGCCGCCCCACCTGACCTCCAGGGGAGAGGAAATGGAGAGCTTTAAATAATATTTCATGTCATAAAAGTACCCAGCACTCTGATGAGCCTACTGTTCTACTGCCTAGTTTTGTTTTAAATAATTCTAATGACAGAGGCTGGGGGTAGAGAGGGCAAGCAGGGTATGTACATGAGGAGGAGTTTAAATTAAAACACAAATAATAATTAAGACACACAATCTGAAGGACTAAGGCAGAAGATGTGGAAGGGGCCTTCAGGATCCCCTAATTTCCAGGAGCACAAGGCCTCTGATGGACGAATCAGGGCTTCCTCTTGGAGAAGATCAGCCGGCGTTTGGAATGGTAGAAATCTGAGGAGAGAGCACAGAAGTCAGCCAGGCCAAGAGGAAGAGGACACAGCAGAGCCACCCATCCAAGGCAGACTGTGGGGGGGCCCAGACACTCCTCCCCAGGGCCCAGGGGCTAGGCATGGGGAGGCCTCTGGGAACCTCCACTCCGTCTCCCAGGAGGGTATTGGTGGGGTACACTGCCATGCTTCACAGAAGTGATTGATTACAGCACCTACATCCATAGGTCTACTCCAACCCAAGCTACCCAATGCAGGAGCCACTACCTCTATGTTGTTATGTAAATTGACTAAAACCAAATAAAGGGAAAAAATCAGTTCCTCAGTCACACTAGCCACATGTCCAGGGATCAACATCTATATATGGATAGTGGCCACCTCACTAGGCCTTTTTCCATCACTGCAAAGAGTTCTATTGGACAGCTCTGATCTACATACTCCATTAGATATCCACAAAAAGTCTTCTGCACAATGTCTGGCCCATGTAAATGTTAGCTGTTGCTGTTGTTGTTGTTGTTGTTAGTACTGACCCAATTGCAAATTGGCAGTGAGATTCTTGCCTTCATCTCTCAGCCTCAGTTTCCCCATTTATAAAATAAGAATAATAATAGGGCTCGGCGCCTGTGGCTCAAGCCGCTAAGGCGCCAGCCACATACACCTAAGGTGGTGGGTTCGAATCCCCAGCCCGGGCCGCCAAACAACAATGATGGCTGCAACCAAAAAATGGCCAGGCGTTGCGGCGGGCGCCTGTAGTCCCAGCTACTTGGGAGGCTGAGGCAGGAGACTCGCTTGAGCCCAGGAGTTGGAGGTTGCTGTGAGCGTGATGCCATGGCACTCTACCCAGGGGGATAGCTTGAGGCTCCGTCTCAAAAAAAAAAAAGAATAATAATAGTATGGTGCTATAAGGATCAAATGAGACTCTCTCTATAGAGGTTTTGGTCTGGGGCTCAGTGTAATAAGTGCTTGAATGTCAGCAACAGTCATTCATTGTCAGGTGCCTACTCTGTGCCAGACAGTGTTCTAGGGGCTGGGGTTTCAACAATGAACATGAGAAATCCCTTCTCCTGGAGCTAATGTCTTATTGAGGGAGATGGGCAATATGAAGACACAAAAGGAGCTGCTGATAGATAGCAAAGAGTGTCAGAGAGAACGAAACAGCAGGAAAGGGGCAGGGAAGTGTGTGTGTGTGTGTGTGTGTGTGTGATGGGAAAGGCAAGGGAAATTTGGATAGGGTAGCCAGAAAATTATCATCATTAGTCTTCTCTCCACTGCAAATACACTGTGGGACCTTGAGAAAAAATCACTCTACCTCCCTGAATCTTCATTCTTTGCTCTCAAGGGTATCGAGAACATCTTACCGCATAGGATCCCTATAAGGATAAAAGGACTAAAGGAAATTCACCTTAGAAGCTTAGCAAAGGACCTGGCTTGTAAAAAGTTCCAACAAATGTTAGCTAGTTAGTCTTAGCTGTGTGACCCAGGAAGGTTGCTTCATCTCTCTGGGCCTGTTTCCCTCCACCTAAGCAGAACCTGGACCAGACAGGTTAGCCCTTGGACGGTAAATTATGAGAGTCCTGGTCCCTTACAAAGTCCTTCCCTGTACCTGCCCTCACCTGTCATGCTGGTCTGCCGCCGTTTTCGGCCCTGAGAGGTTCCAGGCCCACCTGGGGACCCCTCAGGTCGCTCTCCTGAGCGAGGCAGGAGGGTGCAGGACAGAGACAGGTCCACGTGGTCTTCCTGTTCTGTTCCCTGCAGCAGAGCCGACGAGGTGCTGGGCCGCTTGCCCCCTCCCAAATCATCACGGGGGAGGTAAAGCTTGGGCAGGCCGAGGCCCCGCACACGCTCCCAGGCGAAGTCACCCTCCAGTGGTGTCTCAGTGACAAAGTCGAAGTTCCATCGCTCACGTGCCTCCTGTATGCAGCCCGCCATTAGCGCGTCGCAGTCGCGTTGCAGCTGCTCGCTGTCCACTGGGCCGAAGAGGCGGCGGCAGGCCTTCCTGCTGCACGGGATCTGACGGCCATCCCCCTGCTGTTCCGACATGGTGCCTGTGGCTGAGATACGAAGAAGAAGGCCCAGTCACTAGGGAAAGTGGACCCTCCCTTATCCCACCAGGCTTTACTATGCAACCTCAGGTGAGGTCTTCCTACCGCGGTCTCTCTGGTTCCTTCCAGCTAGTTTGCGGCCACCTCCCTCTCACAGGAACCCCCTCCTCCCAACAGACACTAAATGGGGGCTGAGCTCAGCCAGCCTGGTGTCCCAAGGTCACAGGGGAGCAGGCAGCTGAAGGGCAAGCTTATGTCCACAAAGGCAAGTTTATTGCAATAGCAGGGATCAGGGTCCTGTTTACCACCAGGTATTATCAGCTAAAATCAATTCGTTCCCCCCCCTGAGGTGTCCTTCATGGGTGCAAATGCCCCGAATATGTGTGAATTGCCAGAGTTCATCAGTTTCCTAATGCCAGCCCCAGCCAAGAGGTCCAGTGAAGGATCAGGCTGAGGGCTCTTCCAGCCTTGTGAATCCCCCCACTCAGATGTCCAAGTGGGGTAACCCTGCTCTGCAAAGTAAAAGCACCCTGGACTGTAGGATGAAGACCACTGGATTATAGCTCTGCCACTTACCACCTAAACTTTATAAAGCCACTTAATGTCTCTGGGCCTCAGTTTATTCACCTACAAAGGAGGCTACATGCAAATTTTGAGCATGGCTACAGACGCATGTGCAAGCAATGTGTGGGAGAGTCATCCAGCAAGGCAGATGGGACAGAGTGAGAGACTGTGTTTTGGTGGTTAAGAGTGCGGGCTCTGAAGCCAGGCTGGCTAGGTCGGAATCTAGGCTTTGCCAGCTGACCTAGACAAGTGACTTAACTTCTCTGGGCTCTATTTTCCTTTTAGAGGATAGGATAGATATGAGGGTGAATGTGGGTAAAATGATTAGAGCAGCACCTGGTATACAGACGTGCCCAGAAAAATGGAAGTATTATTATTTCTGCCTTCAATTCTGGCTGAGCCTCCACCCCATTGCTTCTCCCTCCCCCGCCCACCTGTCCCCTGCCAACTGCCTCCTTCAGACAGCAGCTGACAGGTGCTAGTAAGTCCTTTCCTAGGCTGTCATCAGCTGGGTGGCCTAGGGGTAAAGAGAGGCTGGGCGGGGCAGGGGAGGAGATAATTTCTCCCAGGCTGAGCCACATCCTGCCACGCATATCAGGTGATCTGAAGTCTAGACACCTCCCAGCCCCCACCCTCTATTGCCTATGTCCAAGGAACCCGTTTTTCAGGCAAGGAAAAGTAAAGGTGGCTGGTCTACCAAGCTCCTCTCCTCCTACTTCAGGAGAGGAAAACCTGAGAGTGCATTTGCCCATGAGTGAGCCCTGGCACTTACATGCACTGCTCTGGGCTAGCTCCAGGGCTGAGTGACTGCACGACCTTGGCATGGACTGGGTTTCCCTAGGGACAAGTCTAGATTTCCAGGCTCTGAAGGTGAAAGCTCCCTGAATGTCTTCCTGAGGCAGAAGACCTGGAATTATGCCCTACCTCACCTCATCTTACTTCTCATGATGAGTGGAGCCCATAACTCCATGTCTCGGCTGATTAGGAGGGAGGCATTCAGACCAAGTTTAAAGGGCAGGAGCTCTCACACACACACACACACACACATCTTGATTTGGGAGACTTGCCCCCTAAAAGCCAAAGTCCACTGCCCCAAAAGAGGTCCCACTGTATAGTGGACAGATCCTTCAAATAACCTATGCCCACCCTCTTCAGGGCATGGATTGGGATTGATTTATATATTTTTATGTTCAGGGGTTTTTCTAAGCAGTTTACAAATATCAAACCTCCTATAAAGTGGATATACATTAGCTTCCTTTTTACAGAAGAGGTAACCAAGGCTCAGAAAAGTTAAGTAACTTGCCCAAAGTCACACAGTTCACAGGAGGCACAGCCAGACCTGAACCCAGGCTTATTTGCTCTGGGTTCTGTGCTCTGGTGTTAAACCCTCTTCTTAACCAGAGAAACACATCAGAATCGCTTAGGGAGCTTTTTTGAAACACAGATTGATGAGCCTCTACCTCCAAAGACCAACTTAATCCAAACTGGATATTTAAGCGTTTGATACAGTTCTCCCGATGGACAGTCGTAGGGTGCCAGCCAAGGGGAGGCACACTGATAAAAAGGGACTTTCTTGGTCTCAGTACCCCACAGTCTCAAGGAGTAGAGGCTCCCCTAGGAGTAGAGGTTTTATCAAGGAGCTGGGCATTCTCTAGCTTCTAGGAGCTAAAGAAAGGACAAGAATCTAGGCAGGAACCCTCTCCCCTTCTACTCCCCTTTCCCTGATGGCTCTCATAGACCTTGTCTTTCAATCAAAATCTGCTCTCACCCTCAATATCTCAATTTCAAGTTCAAAAAAATTTAACTCAGAAATGCAAATCCTCGTTTTGCAAACTGAGAATAGCTTCCTTTATTTGTCTTCGTGCCTGAGACTTCCCCCCTGTTTTAATTTCCAGGTAAATAGGAACAGCTCACTAACTGCTGAACCAGTAAGATTCTTTTAAGGGGTGGTGGGCAGAAGGAGCCCAGGAGCAGCCCGCCAGGCTGTTCCCGCCGGCAAGCGGCGCTCCGCGGGAAAGCGGGTTTGTTGTTCGCGCCAGGGCCAGGAGGGGGCGCTGGTCTCCAGGAAATCATGACAGGGTGGGCGGTGCGTGGGCAGAGCCTAGGACTGAGCGAGGGAGTCGTGATGAGTCAGTTTCCTGCAAAGCGCTCCCCGCCCGCCAAAACTTAGCTTCCACTCCGGCTGCGCGTCACGCTGGGGTGGGGAGGGGGAGGACAGGAGGGGGCCCGGGGGCAGGGAACACGTCACGCTGAGCCGGCCGGGCTTCCGAAACTCCCGCGGCTTTTGGGAAACCGCGCGCTCTCGGGCCGTCTGAGACAGGCGCGCGCGCGCGCGCGCACACACACACATATTTATTCTCATTCTCATTCTCTTTCTCTTCTCTCTCTTCACTCTCTCTCCCTCCCTCTCCTCTCTCTCTCTCTCCCTCTCCTCTCCTCTCCTCTCCTTTCCTTTCTCTCTCTCCCTCTCCCTCTCTCTTTCTCTCTCGCCAAGATCGGGCCCCTCCACCTTATCTCCACGCCCAAAGCACGGGATGAGTCAGATCCCTGGAAAATAAAAATAGACGGGAGCAACGAAAACAAAAACGCTCGAAAGTTCTCCCAGAACGCGACGTAGAGAAAGGGAGGGAAGGAGAGAGGAAACTGCTTGGGCGCCCCAAAATGCCAAACCCCGTCCCAAGGGCCTTTTTTTCACGAGGAGCGCTCAAGTGTTCCCCAGGGGTCCAGGGAGGGCTGACGCACGGAGGTCCGGGCAGGGTACCCGCGCCCAAAGGGCGAATCGCCTTCCTGTCCCACTCAGCCCTGATGCCTTCGGAAATTCCAGGACTAGGTTGGGGCGCCCGAACACCCAGGCAGCTGACGGAGGCTGCACTCAGCGTCGCGCCCACTAGAGTCCCCCGCCCCTCAAACGCATGACCCACTCCCAGTTGACCGCGCGACCCCGCCGCTCGGGAGTGCTACGCGCCTCCGTGCGGGGCTTGGCTCCCGCCTGTGAGTCCCGCGCCTCCTCCCCAGTGCAGGACAGGGTTCTCTGGACCTAAGTGGGACCCCTGCACATCCCCGACTGCAAGGCTGGCTAGAGCCAGAGCCAACCCAGCAGGGGGCCGTGGGCCTGATCATCGAGGGCACCCCGTGGAGTAGGAACCCGACAGTGGATCCTGGACCTTCGGTTCCCCGACTTCCCTGAGAACACGCTGTGCCAGCCAAATAGGTCATTGTGCTGACGGGAGGACAGAGACCGCGGAGAGGCAGGGAAAGGGGCTTCTGGGGTGCCACTGTTCCCCAGCTCGGGCGGGGTTCTAAACTCATACAGTCTTAGTCCATTCCCCGGGTACTCTTTGTCACAGTGAGTCACCTCCTTGCTTGTCCCTAGGGGAGTTGTCCTGGCACGTTACCCAAGGGCCAGGGACATAGCCCGCGCTGACTCCGCCCAGCTGAGTGGGGCACACAGCGGCACCGGGGACCTGAACCTCAGAGACCCGGGCCAGGACGGTACAGACTGGATCTGAGAGCCGCTCGAGACAGATCCCAGATGAACTTGCTACACTCTGTATCCCTCGCCACTCCTGGACCCCTCCGGGAACACAGGCTACATCCTCAAGCCGCGATCAGGGGCTGGGGGCGCACCCGGCCCCAGAGGCCAGCTCCCAAGGCAGCCCAATCCCTGCCTTCCCTTACCCCAGCTGAGTTTCGGGGAAGGGGAGCGTGGCAGGGGATCCCGCACATTTGTGCTCCCGCTCTCGGCCGGGAGTCTCCGACACATCCCGACCTCCGTCACACGCATCGGGAGCGCTCAGACCCACGCACGTCATTCACCTGCCACAGAAACACTTGTGAACACTGCACTCACGCTCGCGCGAACATAATCCCCGCGGACACCCACAAGCGAACACGCTCGGCTCACTCGGAGTCGCCGGCCGAGGTCCACTGTTGCCCTGCCGGGGCTCCCTCACCTTTTCTGAGCGTCTCGGTGTCTCTGTGAATCCGCGCCCAACTCTGGCTAGTCAGGACACTGACTCCGGTAGCTGCTCACACCTCAGCTGGTGCAGCTCAGCTGGGCGCTGATATAGCTAACCAGTATCCCCGAGCCCCGCCTCCCGAGGCTCCGGTCGCTCAGCGCTCCGCCTACTGTGCCTGGCGGGGTTCCAGCGAGCCAGCCGTCTGGGAACTTCGCGTGCTGCAGGAGGGCGCTTCCCTCCTCCTCCAACCCTTCGCTTAGGGTTTTTGCACTTGACACATTTTCCCCGAACATTAAGCCACAAATCTGGCTTTTTTTTTTTAAGTTGGAGGAGGGCATGGCATTGTTAGAAGGAACCCCCTCTCTAGCCCACGGCTGACCAATTCTGGACAAGGATTTACACAAGCAGCTAAAAGGATCAGGAGTGACATCAATAAATAAAAATCCATAAATAATAAAAATAATGCACCTCTCTTTGAAATTCCCAGAACAGCCCCACTATGTGCACTATTCCACCACTATTCCCACTAATCCCTCACTAGACAATCTCTCCCAAAAACACCCCCAGCAAAGTATCTTTGAGGCCAGAATGGCATTCAGTCTCCTTTATTTCACAGAAGAGGAAACTGTATACAAAGTATATAAAGTTGTTGCTTGTCAAATGCCTCAGAGAAAGAGGGAATTGGGCACACTTCTCTGAAAGGGCGGACTGGTCTCCAGGGGGAACAAAGAAATGGAATGTTGAACCAACCTACTGAGCCCCTCACTCGCCTCAGCAGAAGAAACCAGGGTGACTGCAGCAGATTTGATGGCTAGGAAGGGGAGAAGGATTTGGGGAGTTATCTCCTGGATATTCCACACACAGTCCCATATGCTGCTGGGGAAACTGAGGTTGGGAAAAGTCCAGTGACCTAACTCAGAACTCACAGTAAAGAAATGGCTGTGGTCAGAACACAGGCCTTTTGCCTCCTTCCCAGGGTTTGTGGCTTGTTGCCTTCTGTTTCTGAGCTCCAAAACGATGAAAATGTTCAATAGGCAAATGTTTCCAGGCAGTTTCCTGAGATGGCATCTGTAAGGACAATTCTGGAAGTGTCTACTGGTGCTCCTGACAGATACAGAAGAGAGTGAAGTGTCCATTCTGTTCCCACTCACTCCTATACCCCTGACCTCCCTTGGACTTCATCTTCGCCTCCTTTGTTCACCTGAAACATTTGCAGTTTTATTTTTAAAAAATTGCAGAGAATGGAGTGTTAATCTGAACAGAAATTCCTCTAAAAAGTAGAATCCAGGCTTGAAGCAGCTACAATTACTGAAATCTCAGGCTGTTCAGTGTCTGGAAATCTCTGCCCAGACATGCCCAGTCTTCTTCCTCCAATGCAGCTGACCTCGGGGAGGACAGGCTTCTTTCTTGTCTGCTGTGGGAATGGGAGCCCAGGTCAGCGGAGCACCAGACCCCCTCCCCTGATTGGCCTTGGAGTCAGGCCAGGTTTGTAGATAGACCTCATGACTCTATCCTCCACCCCCAGCCCCTGTCTTCACCTCCTTCCCCCACTCCCATACCATCCAAAGGCTGGGTTGTCAAATGTTCAGCACAGGACAGGCACATCCTCCTACTGCCTTGAATCCCGTTGGCTTTCAGGCATTTCAAATAGACTTGACATTGTCTGTCTGTTTACTTTGGGGAAAAATTTTTTTTAATGAAGGCTTGTAATGAATTATTTAAAGTTTTGTGGTACTAAGCTTCACAATGAAATAATTCTTTTTCTTGTTGTTTTTGGGAAGTACATTTTTTATAACTTCCAGCTCACCACCACCATCACAACAGTATTCAACAAATATTTATTAAGCACCTACTAAGTATCTAGTACTGTTCAGATAACTGTTTTTAAAAAACTGTTACCATGTATTTGAATGTGTAGCCACACATCCTCTTCAAGGGAGTACTTCTGCCTTTCTTAGATTGTTAGAAGTCACACACAAAATCTGACTTCCCCCATCCCCCCAGTACACCCCCCAGATCCCAGGCCTTTCCCAAGGGTTCTGTTGCAAATCTCATATTCTGTTCAAGGACACTCAAGCCAAGGTCTGCGGGGGATCTCTGGGGGTCTACTGTCTTCTATTCCTCTCCTCTCCCCAAAGCAAGCAGCCACAAGGATAGAACAGCCACCAGGCTTTTCTAAGCCAGGGCTCAACGTGCTGGGACATGTTCCTGGAGGCCAGCAGGCCAATCAGGACCACAGCCTGTTGCCTGAGCCTGCTCCCAAGAAGGAGGTGGCTTAGGGAGGGAGGGAGGCTCAGCCTGGGGACAAGAGGGCCCAGACCAGCCCCCACCCCAGAGCAAGGTGGGGTATGGTGGGGTGAAGCGAATGACAGAAAGGCAAGGTGGAAAGCCTGAGCCTATAGAAGGAGGATGTGAGGAGGGCTCAGTCGTGGCTGCAGGAGCTACCCGGGAAGGGAGAGGAAGTTTCAGGAACAATGTCACCGTTTCTCAGAAAAGGACTGGGGAGTCCCAAATAGGGGCAGTTTAACTTTCAGAGGAATTCACCTCCACATAGGCTCCCAAGAAGCGAGACACCAGGGAAGAGAGGGGACAGAGGTATCACATACTGAACAGAAGCCTTTTTAAAGCCTCATTCTGACCTGCTGGAGATTTATCCAGTCAGCACAAGGATCAGGACTGACCATACATTAAGGTAGAAGAAATTTGTGACAGAATTTTTGCTGCACGAACACTTCTAGCCTCCCAACACTGAAATTTCACCATTAAAAATTTGTTCCTTTGGCATGAGATTCTGTTCTTCATTAAATAAGATCATAAAGGGAAAGTGCTTAGCCTGGGACATAGAAATCACTCCATAAATATTAGTTATTACTGGCCAGGTGCAGTGGCTCACGCCTATAATCCTAGCACTCTGGGAGACTGAGGTGGGTGGATTGCCTGAGCTCAGGAGTTCAAGACCAGCCTGAGCAAAAGCAAGACCCCTGTCTCTACTAAAAATAGAAAAACTGAGGCAAGAGTATCACTTGAGCCCAAGAGTTAGAGGTTACTATGAGCTATGATGCCACAGCACTCTATCTAGGGTGACAGCTTGAGACTCAGTCTCAAAAACAAAAAAAAATAAACAAAACATCTCCAGGAAAGGTGTACCTAGTACTTATGTACATTTTAGTGGATATCTTAGGTAGGTTCCCCAGAAACCATATTGTTTGAAGGAAGTTTATTGGGGAGTATATTCACAATTAGCACCTGTCTAGGTACAGAGAAAACAGATTTGGGCAAAGAGAAGAATTAGGCTCTTCTGGAGGCTGGAGACCCTGGAGAGGCCTCAGCTGATCCCACAAGGAGCTCTGGAGCAAGGATGTTCCTACAAAGTTCCCTGAATTGAAGCATGGGGGCTAGGCCTGTGTACTCTTCTTGCCTCTGCCAGCCATTTGGAAGTGGCTGCCCCCAAAGTAGGGGGGATATATGACCTCCTTAAGAAAGGGAGCTTCCTTATCTAAGGCCAACGGTCCTGGCAGCCGCTAGGGAGAGCAGGTACGTGGGTCCTGCAAGGGATTCTGGGTGGTTGCAGCACAGCATGAATAGGCTGATCAGATCATTTAGGGACTAGACGGTGAGGAAGTGCTGTGACCACAGGCCACCTGAGGAGTGAAGGACTCTCTGTGCCTTTCCACTTATGGTTCCCTCTTTCTAGAATGAGTGTTCCTGACCAACCCACTACCCCTCCACTTCTTCTCCACCTATTGAATTCCTACTGTTCCTTCATGACCCCATCTACACAACCTCTTGGGATGAGGCCTTCTCAGAGCTCCCTTTGGCTCCCAAGCCTCTTCATGGGGCTTTCCTGGCCCACTTGGTTTATGAGCCTGCTGAATCATCTGAGCTGGTAACCTGAGGGGGTGAGCCCATATTTTATTCATTTTTATACCTTCAAGGCCTAGCAGTCTCAGCCTAGAGCTCAGTGAATATTTACCAAAGGGTCATTTTTGGCCTGTACTCAGTTTAGACTTCAGTCTTCATACGTCTGAGGCATTTATTTATTTATATATTCACTCATTTATTCATGTTTAAAAAATAATATAATTAATACTCATTGGCGGCTCAGCGCCTGTGGCTCAAGTGGCTAAGGAGCCAGCCACATACACCTGAGCTGGCGGGTTCGAATCCAGCCTAGGCCTGCCAAACAATGACGGCTGCAACCAAAAAATAGTTGGGCATTGTGGTGGGCGCCTGTGGTCCCGGCTACTTGGGAGGCTGAGGCAGGAGACTCGCTTGAGCCCAGGAGTTGGAGGTTGCTGTGAGCTATGATGCCACAGCACTCTACTCAGGGTGACAGCTTGAGGCTCTGTCTTAAAAAAAAAAAAACCTCATTGGCTTGGCACCCACAGTCCAGTGGTTAGGGCACCAGCTACATACACCAGGGCTGACCAGCCCAGGCCTGTTAAACAACAATGACAACTACAAAAAAAACATATCTGGGCATTGTGGCGGGTGCCTGTAGTCCCAGCTACTTGGGAGGCTGAGGCAAGAGAATTGCTTAAGCCCAAGAGTTTGTGGTTGCTGTGAGCTGTGATGCTACAGCACTCTACCGAAGGTGACATAGTAAGACTCTGTCTCAAAAAAAATAAAGAAAAAATATTCATTGCTCAAAGCAAAAATCTGAATGTTACAAATCACTGACACTTTCCCTCTGTGTTCTACCCCATCCTAAAGTAAACATTATCTTGAATTTTATGTTTAACTTTCCTTTATTTTAAATAGTTTTATCACATGTGGCACAGATAGTAATGTTCACCCATTAATCCAGGTGCTCCCCTACATTTCCCAGTTGTCTTTATAGTTTAGATAGGGTCATGTGACTACTACTAGCCAATGAAATGTGAGCATAAGTGACATCGTCCCTTTAGGGCTGAGGCCAGGTGAAATTCTCCCACCTTTCTGTCCTCCACAGTTGTGGCAAAAGTGAGATTTCATGTCACACATGGTGTCATTACCATGTGATGGAGCCTCCTTCAGGCTGGGTCCCCAAGTGACTGTATGGAGCAGAGTGCCCTACCAACTTCTGTGAGATAT